CCCCCTTTCCGCGCGCGAGCCCCGCGAGATCCCCGTACCTCTGCGCTTCTCTCCTGCAGCTTCTGCGGGTCTCAGTGTGCTTTTCCTTCCTTCTAGTTGTAGAGTTTACAGTCAGCCAGGCTTCCTGTGGTTCTGGATGAAGTCCGTATTGTTTCTCTGAGGTATTAATCAATTGTTGTGTGCGGCATTAATTTCCCGGTGTTTATCTCTGCCGCCATCTTAGTTTTTCCCCCGTCAATATTTTTATTTATACATTTTTTGTTAAAGTATAACCTAAATAAGAAAAATGCACATCAGCAAATAGCTCAACGAATGATCACAAACTGAACACCCTCCCCATAATCAGCACCCAGATCCAGAAACAGAACGTTGCCTGGCTTGAGCCCCTCCCAGTCGATCAGCCACTCCCCAAGGGGTAACCAGTATCTTGACCTTGAACAGCATAGATTAGTTTTGCTGTTTTGGCTTCACGTAAATGGGAGATGCAACATGAGCTCTTTTGTGTCTGGTTTCCTTAGGTGTGTGTGATGCATCTATGTCGCTGTGTGCTTTTTCAGGTCATTGTCATTACTGTAGAGCATTCTGCTGGGTGACTACCCCACAAGATCTCCTGTTTATGCATTCTTTTGATGGGCAGTTAGGGTTTTTTTTAACTTTGGGGCCAATATGACCACTGTTGCTATGAGCAATCTTGTACACGTCTTGTGGTGCCCACAAGCACATGTTTCTGTCGAGCATAGACCTAGGAGTGGAATTGCCATGTTATACGTTGCACGTTAGGAGGTGCTGCCACCAAGTTTTATAAAGAGGTAGCACAACCTCCCTCCTGCCAGCAGTGTGAAGGCTCCTGTTGCCCCACACCCTATAGGCTTTCTATTCCCAGTTTGCAAGTGAGGAAGACCAAGGGGTAAAGTGCCTTGTACCAAACACAGCCAGCGAGTCCTGGTCACTCATTTAACCCCAGATATTGGCTGAGCTTTCACTGTGTGTCAGCCCTCTGCTGGGAGCTGGGGGCGGGGGGGGGGGGGGAGGGGGTCTCATTGGTTACTGATGCACATGGTCCATACCCTCATGGAACTTCTCATTGGGCTAAATTAAATCTGAACTCAGATCTGTTCAATGCCAACAGATGTTTATGCTTTTCTACTCTGTCATTCTTTCTCTATATTCCCTTGGAGCTCAGCAAAATGCTTGGCACACAGTAGGTGCTCAGTAAGTATGGGTTTAAATGAATGAGGGCATGGGAAATCTCAATAAGACCCTCCCTGCACTGAAGACCGCATCTATGGATGGTCTTCTGGATGCAAAACACAGGAAAAGAGTGTTATCTCTGGTGTTTCTGGGTTGATGAGCAAACCCAGGCATATTTAGTCTCAGGATAAGCCTTCATCAGGCCTTTACTTCTGGAATCGAAACTCAGGACCCTGTCAGGGGATCTCTGCACCCTTAAGAGCTGCAATTTATTATGGGGGAGGACAGGATGCCCATGGAGTCTGTGTAAAGTTTTGGGGGCAGTGGAAGCCCCACTCTAAGGGAGACTTAAGGTTACAAGAGGTAGAATCTCCTTCCGATCATCAACAGGCAGCTGGACACTCAAGCCTGGCCTGGGGAGCGTTGGCCGACACACAGCTGGTTGAGTTCACGAGCAGAAGGCTATTCTGTAAGGAGAAGAGTTGGTGTCAGTCACCAGCTTGTCCGCTCCTCCATCCCCCAGGTGCACAGGGAAGAAAACTCATCCACCCATGCCAGCCAAGGGCCTGTGCCCAGAGCATTCCCATTACAACTCTTTCCAAATGGTATCTGATTATTTGCTCTTATTGTCAATCATTCACTAGACTGTGAACTCCATGAGGGTGGGGGACTATATCTGTTTAATCTGCAACTGGAGTGTGTGGTCCCAGGTTTGGGGTAGGGCCAGTGCTCCCTAAAGGATTGAGTGAAGAGCTACAGTCTCTGGTAATGTGGAGGTTTAGGTGACTTAGTGGGGCCCAGCCTGCTTGTAGGAGTGCCCTCTGCTGTCCCAGCTCTCTTGAGGGCAGGAATGTGGTCTCCTCTAAGTGTTCTCAGAGCGTGTGCAGACACTGCTCCCTCAACAGGCCTCACTGGGGGTCCCAGCGGGGCAGCTCTTCCAGTCATTTTTCCATTCTGTGTCCTCCCTGAATGGATGCAGACACTCACCCATGAGGCTTTTCAGCAGTTTCACATCCAGCTGCCTGAGGATTTCACCAATTAGAGGGCATACCTGCACCACCAGCACAGAGAGAAGGGTCAGATCCAGGTTGGGGAAAGGAAAACTACAGGGCCTGTGGTGGAAGCTTAGACTCTACTGGATCTCCTTCCACATGGAATCGTGGCAGGAGTGGCTTGGCTTCCTTGTATTGAGTGCCAACTGCATGCTAGGTGCCATACACAACACTTCCACGTTTCATCCCCCTGAATCCTCACATCTTTATGAAATAGGGACTGCAGTGGTTCCTGCACTACAGATGGGAAACCGAGGCCCAGGGAGTCTAAGTCACTTGCCCAAGGATACACAGTCAGTAGAGGGCAAAATTGAACATTTTCATTGAGATCTTTCAGATTCTAAATCCCAAGATTTGAAACTCTTTGCTAAACTGCCAATATATATGCCCAGACCCTCGGACTGAAGGATGCCCAAGGCAAACACATTTTTCTCAAACTTACCTGATCTTCTATTAGATGTGGGATAACTTTTTCCAGGTTTTGTCTAAAATTGCGAACAAAATGTTTTACCTTTGCTGAGAGATCTCTAGAAAGAGAGGTAGATGTACAGAATAGATAAATACAGGCAAAACATTACTAGGTGCAGTATATTGACTACACCTTACACCATTATGTCATCTGTTGTTAGCCCTCTACAGGAGGCATCATTGACAGCAGCAAAGGAGCAATTCAGAGAGGCGACTTGTCCAAGGTCACACAGCGCGTAAGTGTAGGTTAGATTAGATTCAGGTCAGTGAGCTACAGAGTCCGCAAGTCTTTTCCCTGCCCTGTCCTCTCGGTGAATGTCTGGGATGATCTAGGAACTCGGTGAATGTCTGATGAGTAAATGAATGGACATCCACTGAAAACTTTGTTGCTTTCAGCATTCTGGACCCACATGGGGAAGTCAGAGAGAAAGCTTGCCTTCGGGGGACTCATAGTCTGTTGAGGTTGACAGACTTGGCCAGCCAGTGTATAGATCTTCCTTTAGCTTTGGTGTGTGTTTTTTATGTCTTGTTCACTGCTGTATCACTAGCATGAAGCATGCTGTGCCTGGCAAATAGTAAGTTCTCAGTAAATATTTGTTAGTGAATGAGTGGTGAAGAGGAGCTTTAGAGAAGGAAGGGCATCCCCGCAAAAGGATCTGCATGTGCAAAAGCATGGTGGTGTGAAAATAAATGGTGTGCTGATGAAGGGGTGGGTCCTTGAGAGAGACTATGGGGTAAAAGGCTGCAGGGTGGGGCAAGGGAGAGGACAAGTAGGCCTTGAGTGACATCCAGGAGTTTGCATATTGAGGCCATTGGAGAGCCACTGGAAGGTTTGAGGCAGCGGCTGGGGGACATGACTAGATTCTTGGGCTAGAAAGTTACTTCTGCTGCAGGAGGAGAATGGAGTGAAGGAGGTGAGGTACAGTCAAGGAAAGTCGGAGGAGGCTCCTGCAATGGTCCAGGAAGTGGACCATGGGCTGCACAGTGAAGGATGGAGAGCAGGGAGCAGTGGAGGCTGCCAGGAAGTCAATGTTGGGAGCCGGTGAAGATGGGCTGCAAGGAGTGAGGAGGAGGAAGAGTCTGGTTTCTTTCTGGGAAGGTGGCAGGGCCATCATTGGCAGGGAACACAGGAGAAGGAACAGATCCTGGGGAAAGGGTGAGATCTGTTTGGGGTCCGTCCAGGAGGTGGTGGAGATGTGTCAGGAAGCTAGGGCCAGCTAAGGCTAGTCAGGAAGGGGCAGCTAGGACCTTACTCAGTTAGAACTGTTGTATGGACGCTGCTGGGCTCCACATGGCAATTGCCTATTGCCAGATCCCTCCGGCCAAACTCGTCTTTCTCCAGCCAGAACTCCACGGAGAGGTTCATGCGTGCATGTGTCGTTGCAGTCTTGTTTTTGAAGGGCCTCCTGAGGATGAGAGAGGGAGGAAGAGGGCAAAGGGCAGGAGACAGAGAAAAGGCAGGAGGTGGAAGCAGCCAAACGAAGAGTGGCTCTCGGTGTGGATGCCACTGTCTACACTCCGAGTCCTTTTCAACAAACCAGCCCAGTGGGGCTCCACGTTGCTGGCGTGTTAAATCCTGTGCTCAATGGTTAAGGAGGAGACTGCTATTAGCCAGAGTGGTTCTGAAAATCCTTTTAATAGAGCAGATTAGGAGCCTTTGGAAATTCAAAGGTTGAGAGTTTACTTAATTTTTATGTTTTTACTGTTGAGCTGCAGCCTCCCTTTCCTTGAGGCAGTAGATGTTAAAGCAGGGGTGGGCAAACTTTTTGACTCGAGGGCCACATTGGGTTCTTAAACTGGACCGGAGGGTTGGAACAAAAGCATGGATGGAGTGTTTGTGTGAACTAATATAAATTCAAAGTAAACATCATTACATAAAAGGGGACGGTCTTTTTTTTTTTTTTTTAGTTTTATTCATTTCAAATGGGCCGGATCCGGCCTGCCGGCCGTAGTTTGCCCACGGCTGTGTTAAAGGATAGTTCGAACAGAAGAGAAAGGTGATGAGATACAGTGCTTCTCGTTTTTAAGTCAGTGTAGTGAATTCACAGAGATTTAAATGAGCAAATGATCTGCCTCCACCGACCAGTGATTGCCATCCACATTTCAGCTGAAGGAACTAAGGCTCAGAGACATGAAGTGACTTGCCCAAGGTCACACAGTGAGTGAATTTGGAAACCCAGATTTGAAACCAGGTTGGGGCCAGAAAGATCTGTGTTCCACAGGTTGCCAAATTCCCTCCCAGCCCACCCCCACGCCAGCTCCCTGGTTCCCAGTGAGGAGGAGGTGCACCTCTTACACGTGCTTCTGTATGACTTACACTCTCAAGTCAATGTCAAATTCAAGTGAGATGTCTGCCGAGAACCACTCCTTAGGGACAGACATCTGGATCCTGCCATAGTCCAGCTGAATGTTGTTGATGTTGGCGCTACACAAGGAAAGAACAGAGATCCAGTGAGGGTGAGGAACCTCAGACATCAAGGCCTCGGGTGACAAACAAGGCTGGTTTGTCTATAAAACGGGCCTGGCAGTGCATTTGGAGTCAGAGCCTTTTATAGATGCTCTGAGGGCAAGAGCCACCTACAGGAGCCCTAGGCTGCAAGCTGTCCCAGAGTGCCCTCGCAGTTCCACGCTGTCATATTGGTTTGTGTAGCCCATAGCCAACTGCAGACTCAGTACCTAGGCCTGTTCTCACACCAAGCCTCCCCGCTCAGTAGATGGCTCCACCACCTCCCCAGGTTGCCCAGGCCCAAACCCCAGGAACTGTCTTTGATTCTCTCCATCCCTCATTTCCACGTTCACACCACCAGCAAATCATGTTGCGTCTGCTTGCAAAATACATCCTGAGTTTGGCCACTTCCCACCACCTCTGTTGATTTTACCTGGTCCAGGTTACCATCTCTTGCTGTCTGGAGATACTCTAGTTCTTCTGGGCTGCGGGTCCTGATCTTGGCCTCTCTATGACCGTTCTCCATGTGGCAGCCAAAGGGACCTAACTCCCCTCTCACTCAACGTTCTCCACTGGGTTCTCGCTGCTCTTGGAATGAAATCCAAACTACCCACCACAGCCCTTTTGACCTTCAGTGCCTGGCCTCAGCTGCCATCTTGCTCACCCAGCCACATGGGACTTTTTCTTTTTTCAAACATCAATTTCCTTCCTACCTCAGGGTCTTTCCACTTCCTGCTACCCATGTCCCTCATGTTACTTGCTTCTTCATTCAGGTTTCTACCTAAGGGTTATCTCTTTTTTTCTTTTTAAATTGATTTCAGAGAGGAAGGAAATGAGAGAGAGCGAGAGGGAGAGAGAGAGAGAGAGAGAGAGAGAGAGAGAGAGAGAGAGAAACATCAATGATAAGATGGAATCATTGATCAGCTGCCTCCTGCATGCCCCATATTGGGGTTGGAACCCACAACCCAGACATGGGCCCTGACTGGGAATCAAACTATGACCTCCTGGTTCATAGATGAATGCTCAGCCACTGAGCCACACCAGCTGGGCAGGGTTACCTCTGTAGACAGATCCTCCTGATCAGCTCCCTCACCCTCACCCTTCACCTTGATATATTTGTCTTCTCCACATCTTCTTTCACCTGAAATTAGTTTTTTACTTTTGTGGCCTATCTCACTAACTAGGCTTTAGATCCCAAAAGGCAGTGACTATATGTCTGGTCTATAGGTGTATTCTCAGTACCCAGCCTAGGTCCTGGTACATAGTAGGCGCTCAATGAATATTTGTAACAGTTGTTTAAGGAATGGGTGAAGGGAGGTGATCATGGCTGCGCCCATCAAGAAAAACCCTGCTGGGGAGTATTGGTGCTCATTAAAATGGAGAGAATGAGGGATTTGAGTCAGAGAGTAGGGAGCTCCAGGCACAGCAGGTGTATGGGAGCATCTTTGAGACTGGGAAGCTGGGGAGGCCTGCATCCGTCAAGAGGAAGGTGTGAAAACGGAGGTGAGCAGGACAGGCCCAGTTCTGTGAGTTTAATTGTAGCTACTGATGGCTAGGCATCCACCATGTGCAGCAGAGAAAACTTCCCTAAACTCCCAGCGGCAGGGACAATTATTCTGCCCATTTCATTGATGAGGACTCAAGGCTGAAGCTTAGAGAGTTCAAATGCCTTGCCCAGAGTCACACAGCTATCAAGCAATAGAGCGGGGCTCAGATGTCTGGCTCTAGTCCTCGGTTCCTTTGGCACCCGGATGTTTATCCAGGCTGTGCTCTGGGTACCAGGGTTATAGATGAGGCCAGAATGGTCCAGTAATTTCCCCAAGGTTGATGGCAGAGCCAGGATTTAAATGAGGAAATGTTCACTCCCAAGCCTTCACTTTTAATTACTCTGCTGTGCTGCCTTCCCAAATACCCCCACTCCATCCTGGTCATCCTTCTACGGGGCCTTACATCTCCTTCCAATCTTCACTCATCCCAGTCCTTGAACTTCCATTCTCTAGCCCTGCCTTCTGACCCATAGCTCTATAAAGAGTCCCAGGGCCAGGGATGGGGTTCAGGGTCTCACCTGCCTTCTTGCTGCTGCTGGAGGCTCATGCTATCACCGATTAGCCAGGCCACCATCCCTGCAGTCACCTGCTTTGAGTTATTCAGACTGCCCAGGAGGCAGATGTTCTGAATTCGGCCCTCTGCATTGTGCTTCATGAGGCCCTGGGTAATAACTGGAAATGGATAAGGCGTCGGTGACATTGCACAAAGTCAGGGAAAAGGCGGGGGATTTGGAGTCAGGAGGCCTGAGTTGCATCTCGTGCACCCACTTGCTGAGTGCTTGGTGCCTGTCACCCCCCTGCCCCCAACACTGAGATCCATATTCTTCATCTGTGAACTTATGCTCGGCAGGGGTGATCTGAGGCTCCTGCAGAGGGTCTGGTGGGCAACAGCGGCTCAAAGGAGATCTTTGGGTTGAAAGTTCACTCAGAGCTGTATCTCTGAGTCTGGAGCACAGAGCCCAACATAGATGTAGGCCACAATCACAATAAATGTTGGTTGAAGATGAAAATAAGTGGGCAAATCAGTAGATGAGTGGATAAAAAAAGTTATGGTACATTTACACCACGGAATACTATGCAGCTGTAAAAAAAAAAAAAAAAAAAAGGAGACAGTATGGAGGGGACTGGGGAATAATATGCTAAGAGAAACAGGCCAGTCAGAGAAAGAAAAGTATCACATGATCTCACTCATATGGGGAATCAAATGAACAAAATAAACTGACGAACAAAATAGATCCAGAGACATAGAAGCATGAAACAGACTGATGAATTTCAGAGGAAAGGAGGGGGTGGAAGGTGGATGGAATGAGATGAGCTGAGGAACTTATATGCATATATGCATAGCCCATGGACACAGACAATACTAATAGTGTGGTGAAGGCCTGAGAGGGGTGGGTGTGAGGTGGAGGGAGTCAATGGGGGAAAAAAGGAACATTTGTAATACTTCCAACAATATAGATAAATTTAAAAGTTAAATAAAAATTAAAGTAAATATTCCTACAAGCAGCATATATATTGTACATACACCTTTGTGCATATGCTTCATAAAATAGATATCCAGAAGTGAAAGCAGTGGGCTAAGGGATCTTTTAAATTATGATTAAATACTGCCACATTACCTTTCAAAGCTAATATTTTTTAAAGTATTATGTTAACTTAAAATTATGTATTCTGCCGTTTTCATAGTTCAACATTGGGCACATAGATAAAGAATACTTTATTTATTTGACCATTTCTCTGTTATAAATTTTAAGTGGCTTCTAGTTTTCCACCAATAAGAAGAGTTGCTGTGTTTAAATTATCTGGGAATATGGGTTTTCAGTGTTTTAAATAATGATTTCTTAGCATGGTTAACATTTGTGCATACTTCTGAATTCTTTTCCAATTTTATGGTAGTATTAACAATTATATTTTAATTTGTCGCATTCATTAAACTTGATATGTAGACCTAGGGAGGTTGAATTTTTTTTCTATATGTGTTTTCTAGACTATCTTCTTTATATATATATTTCAGAGGAAAGGCAAGGGAGAGAGAGAAACATCAATGATGAGAGAGAATCATCAATTGGTTGCCTCATGCACACCTCACACTGGGGATGGAGCCCATACCTGGGCATGTGCTCTGACCGGGAATCGAACCATGACCTCCTGGTTCATAGGCTGACACTCAACCACTGAGCAACACTGGCCAGGCTTTCAGTCTGCAGGCCAACGCTCTATCCACTGAGCCAAACCAGTCAGGGCTGGCCAGGCTTTAATAAAACTAACTGAAATATATATATGGGCAAATAAAGAGAGAATAAATGTAAATCTTCTCACACCATGCCCAGAATAAACTGAGTGGAGCTCCCAGCAGGAAAGAATCAATTCCAAAAGGGAAAGGGATTTTAAAAGCTATGGACATGTTTAAGTTCTTCCTCTCTTGGCTCTAGATTCTCCTGCCCAGGATGGGTCCAGCTCTGACAAACCCCAGAGCTCACCATAAGACACATTTATTTCACTGTCTTGACCCTTCCTATGATCAGGACCCGTACTAGGGGTTACTGCAGAGCTGCAGAAACCATTGTTATACCTCACCCTCCTTCCTCCAGGATCAGCTCCCAGACCCCTTTTCAGTTCCCCATGTTTCTGCTGCCTGTAAACTGAAGTTGTGTCTGGAGTCACAGGTCTGGGTTCAAATCTTAGCTCTGTTAGCTCCCTGATTCTGGATTTCCTCATCTGTATAATACAGTGATGGTGAACCTATGACAGGCGTGTCAGAGGTGACACGCGAACTCATTTTTTTTTGGTTGATTTTTCTTTGTTAAATGGCATTTAAATATATAAAATAAATATAAAAAATATGTCTTTGTTTTACTATGGTTGCAAATATCAAAAAATTTCTATATGTGACATGGCACCAGAGTTAAGTTAGGGTTTTTCAAAATGCTGACACGCCGAGTTCAAAAGGTTTGCCATCACTGGTATAATAGGAGCAGTAATAATACCCACTTCATGGAATTCTTTTAAAAAATATTTTTTTTTATTTCAGAAAGGAATGGAGAGGGAGAGGGAGAGGGAGAGGGAGAGGGTGGGGCCCTAATCCAATAGGACTAGTGTCCTTACAAGGAGAGAGAGAGACCAGTGCATTCTCTCTCTCTGCAACACACAGAGGAAAGGCCATGTGAGGACACAGCAAGAAGGTGGCCATCTGCAAGCTAGGAAGAAAGGTTTCACCAGAAACAAACCCTGTGGGCACCTTGATCCTGGATTTTCAACCTCCATAACTGTGAGAAAGTGCCTGTTGTTTTAGCCACTTGGTCTGTGGTATCTTGCTATGGCAGCCCAAGTAGGCTGGCACAGATGAATACTCTCCAGTGCTGGGGAACATGAAGAGACAGGTATGCTTGTTTATTACTGGAGTTAGTGTAGACTGGCACTGACATTCTACAGTGAAATCTGGCAATCTTTGGTTAAATTGAGTTTTCATCTGCCATAGAGCCCAGCTATTTGTCTTTGGGTGTATCTCAGAGACGTTCCCCTAGAGACACATGCCAGGATGTTCATCTCAGAGTGGTGGGGAGTTAGAGACAACTCAAGTGTCCATCCCTAGGGAAATGGCCAAGTGGTAGTGAAGTGGATGAATATCTGCACCAGTCTGAAGCCACAGGTGTCAACAGTGTTCAGTGAAACCAGTCAGAAGCAATGAGATCTATTGGGCAATATCATTATGTAAAGTAAAAACACTGCATGCTTTACAAAGATCTGGGCATATTTAAACTCACACACACTGCAGTGCCTGCCAAGAAAGAGGGAATGGGAGTGCAAATAAGAGGAAAATAACATAAAATCAAATCAAAGAGGGGCCTTGCCCTGACTCATGATAATGATAATGTGCTATGAATTGGCGCATGACCAAGTCAGCCTCAATTGTCCGTACTTGAGGTCTAAGAAAAAAGGAAGAAAAGAGGGTGAGTGACTGACCCAATGCCAGACAGCAAGTCAGTGGCGAGGCCCAGATGATACCTTCCCCACCCACCCTGTGACAACAGGCAGAGCATGGGCTTAGCTTACTTCTCACCAGGGTGGATTTGCTGCTTGCGTGGACCTTCGCCAGGCCAGGCCAGGGCTGCTTGTGCAGTGCTGAGGGCAAGGACAGCAAACAGAGGAGGATTAGGAGCTTCCAAAATGGATGCATCTTGGGTTCTGGGACCTGCAGGTGTCAAGAAGGGTCAGGTGGCTGTGGGGGTGGCCGTTGGGATAGGTGGACTCAAGGTTTTCTGCGAGAAGATTTCATCAGAGTTAGCCCCCAGAATTCTGTGGGGGAGGTGTTGTGATGAGCTCTGGCAGCTGGTCACATGGTGAAGGCAGCAGGTAGAGCCTGGGGGGAGCCCAGGGCTCTAGCAGGGCCCTTGTTGCTTGGAGACGCCCACTAGAGCCCTCTGTTGGGTCATCCAGCAGGAGTTCTCTCCCAGATCCTGCACAGGCTGGATGTTGGTGACCTTTCAGTGAAAAAGTAAATGAATGAATGAATGAATAGGCAAGGATGGCTAATCTCAGGCTTTCTAATTGGACTCAGACTTTCTTAAGGGCAAGATCATACTCAGTGCCTACCATGATGCTTGTTTGCCAGAAACTAAGTGCGGCTGAAATGTTTGTTGAGTGACTAAGTGACAGTACATGGATGTGTGAGGATGGTTGATCTCTGAATCCCTCACCAGATTATCATGTTCTTGAGGGCAAGTGTGAGTCTAATTATCCTCATGTGTCCAGTGTCTCCCAGGTTTACCACATGGTAGTTACTAATGAATTCTTATGAAATGAAATGAATGCATGAATGACTGCTGGTTTGTGAATAAAATTTACAGGACAGGGACAGGAAGTCTTGAAGCCAAAGGATTAGGTTTACCTTATTGCTCTGGGGTTGGGAGTCAGAATGAATTTAGTTCAAGTCCCCCTGTCCTCACCATCTCAAGAAATGGCACCACAATCCACCCAGTTGCTCCAGCCCCAGCCTTTGGAGTCCCCTTGACTCCTCTTCCCTCATCTCCCACGACCCATATGTTAGGAAATCCTGCCAACACTTTCAGAATCTGACCACATCTAACAACTCAGCCACCATCTTGCCCTGAACTATTGCAGGGGCGCCCTGTGTGGTCTCACAGCTTCTCCCCTTGCCCACCTACAATCTCTTCCACACAGAAGCCTGAGCAATCATTTAAAGACATAAGTCAGACCATAGACTCTTCTGCTCAAAGCCCTCCAAACGTTCTCATTGCAAACAGAGTGAAAGCCAAAATTCATGCTATTCCTCTGGGCCCTGCAGGGTGCCCTGTTATCCTCCCTGACCTCACCTGCCACCACTCCGTCCCCCTTCCACTCCCCTGCTCCACACAGTTTGGATCCCACAATTCAGCTGCTGTGAGCTCTAAGACAAAGGTACTTTTCCCTCTCCCAGACTGTGGAGGATGTGCGAAGTCCTTTGCAAATTTCACAGCAGCTTGGCGGCCACCTTGGGCACTTGGCTTCTGGTTTGCTAAGAGATCATAACGACCCAGCATCACAAAGCAGAGTACAGAAAGAAAGATTTGGAACCAAGAGACCAAAAGCTTAATAATGAACACATTTTATTTAAAAGAGTAAGTTACATAAGGCATATAAAATACACAGAAGATGTAATACAGAATCAAGGTAGTGATGAGGGGAAAAAAAAAGGAGGATGAGCAGGTGGAGAGTAGGTTGGAGTAGTCACCCAAAGTGTTAATTGCTAATGACTTGAGGAACATGAACACCGATAACGGTTCCCCGGTGTTGACCATGAAGGAGGTCATAGTTATTTTGAGGAGTTGGGGGAAGGAGCCAGATTATCTAAAACTGAGCAGTAGATGAATGTAAAGGAGTAGAGACAGCGAATAACAATATCTTTTGAGAAGTTCAGTGGTAAAGGGAAGAAAAATAGGGTTACCAGGGTCAAGATAAGTTTTCTCCCATAAACCACAACTTTGTAGACTGTTCTTGCCTGAAAGTGCTTAGATGAGACCAACATTCTCACTTCACAGCTGAGCTACCTCAGGTCACAGAAACACTTCAGAAAACATCTTATACAAGAGAGGAAGCCTTGTTCTTTAGCTGTTGAAAAACTCCAGACCAGAGTGTTCATGTATCTTTGAGAAGGCTAAATTAACCCAGTCATCTTCCCCCACCTTTTAAATTTTATCATTTTTACCATACTCACTACTGGCTATAGCTATTGTTGCCTCTGCCCCAGGGTGGTATGGCAGCAGGACAGTCCACAGTTCAGAGATTAAAAAAATTTTATTGTGGAAAGATTATGTGGAATCATTACACAGATTCTGGTAATTTACAGGAAAACAGACTATACTCAGAGAAGTAGGGGATCTTTTAGACCAAGGTGGGTAATGAAATTCAAGGCAGCAGCAATTAATATGAACATCCACATAGGTTGTGGCTTGGAGTATGGAGGACATTCCAAAGAGGAGACCAGAAAACAGAACCTGATTCTTTGTGAAATAATCAAGATATTAATCAACATTATATCCTTTATAAGGAGGCTGTAAGCTAGAGCACAGTCTTTCTTCCGCCCCTTCCACATCACATTGGTACTGCTGTCCACTATCCATGGTGCTGAACCATAATCCTCCCTGAACACCCATCCACCCCTATTCCTGGATGACAATTTCTTGCTGCTCCCTGGTTTCCCTCTCATTAACTAAGACGGATCTTTGATCTCACCTGGGCCTACTTCATGACACCAGGAGACAAAATATTTCCAGATACCCTGGTTGATCAAAACACATATTTCTTACTTTTAATATTGGCAACTCATTCACATTCCACTTTTGGTGGAACCAAATATGTCTGCAGAACTTCTGTAATAGATGGCAGCCTAGATGTATAGGTGGAGATAAAATGAGATGCCCTAGGTTTTTCAAGGTTTTATACAACTAGCAGTCAATTAGCTTTGTTAGAGCTGCACTATCCAATATGGCAGCCTCTGGCCACATGAGAATATTGAGCACTTGAAATGCAGCTCGTCCAAATAGAACCATGCTATAAGTATAAAATACACATCAGACATCAAATATTTAGTACAAAAATAGGATGTAAAATATTTAATTAATAATTGTTATATTGATTACATGTTGACATGATAACACTTTTGATGTATTTGGTAAATAAAATATATTACTAAAGTTAATATAATATGCCTTTTTCCTTTTAAAGTGTCATTACTAAGATCTCAAACTTACACATGTTTCATGTTATATTTTTGTTGGATGGCATTAATTTAGAGTATTACCTAACTAAACTAATTAACCCAAGGACATAGATTCTATTATGGTGTCAGGCACTCCGTGTTTTCTACTTGCCAGGCCACCTCCAATAACAGCAGAGCAAGAGTGTTGGTCGCATTTACTTGGAGTGAGGCTTGGAGCTGAGCTTTGGGAGCTCCAAGACTCACCCAGATGAACTGCCTCCCACTTCCCACCTCATAAGTAATGAGCTCCCTGTCAGTGGAGGTATGTGAGCAGCGGCCAGAAAATTGCTTGTTGAGAGTCATTTAAAGGAACTTTAGAAACTCCAGCATCTAGCACTCCATAGTGAAAATTCAGTGAATGAAGTACGAGTCCTTTCAGCCTAGCAATCCTATTGCTTTTCAGATTCCTGCTCGGGGCCTGAGCTGTGAAGATTCAATCCTGCATTCCTTGCCTTGGGTTCCAGCAGATGTGGAAACTCTGGGGGGTTGGTGGTAGAACTACTAAAAGAGACAGTTTTTGTCTAAGCTGAAACCAGGCCAATTTTCTCCTCCTAATGCAGCATCATACATTTTGGGAGGAGAGCAAATGGCGTATTGGGCAACTTTTCTCCCTCAAAGAAGCCTCCACATTATCTCAGCTTCTTAGGCTTTGAGGACCAGAATGGAATTGAAACCAGTATTCACTTAGCTAGTGGTAGAGCTCCAGAGTGTTTAACCCTGGGCTTGGCACACAGGACCCCTCAGTAAATGGGCGCTGAACTCATTAAGATTCTTATTGTTAGGGACCATTCTTCCTCTGCAGGCAAGAAAGGATTTGGGGTGTGGGAGAAGCGTCAAGATGGGATAAGGGATGATGCAATGAAAGGGAAAAAGGGAGGAGTCGGAACTTTCTCCTGGAGTTCCTGTCCCTTCCCTCTGCCAGCACTTACTAATCAGTTCACTAGTCAGCGGTGGGTTCCATTGATAGAGCCATAAATTAATGAAGAAACCCACCTGCAAGACAAAGAAATAGGCAAGAGTTGGGAGGAGGACTCTACTAATGAAGCCTGCATGGCGTGATCAAGGCAAGTTCTTCTAAGTCAACCCATCCTACGGAACAACTAGATAGAGGTTTTTGGGGACAGCCCTGGGGCCACATGTCAGCTGAGCCATTTGGCAGTTATGTGACTTGGTTAAGTCAATGACCCTCCCTGGAACTTTTTCTTAAATTTGAAAAATTATACTGGCAAATGGAGATACTATTGTTACCTAGAGCATAAGATTGTTTGGAGGATGAGATAAGAAAATTCATTGAGATACTTAGCACAGTGCCTGCATGCTGAGTGAATATTAGCTGTTCATTTTATGATTATTTAAAACTTATTTTACTGATAAGGAAAATGAGTCTTGGAGAAGCTTATTAACTCATCTCCAGGCTCACAGAGGCTGATTTTGACTTGAATTAAACAGTGTCTATGAAGCACTTCCCAGGTGCCTGATTGAAGAACGGGAGCTTAATAAATGCCACTTCCTCACGCTGTAACTCTTCTTCTTGGGAGATTTCCTTCCAGTTTAATTAAGAAGATCCCGCCCACCAAGCTCTGACTCACAACTCAAAAACTGAAATACTCTGGGTTTGCATACTTACATTTTCTCCCAAATTCTTGATTACCAGGACTTTCAGTTTTCTCTGTATGTTTTCCACAAAAAATTTCATCATTGGGTTGATTCTAAATGAAGAATGAAAGAGGTTTGTAGAACCGATTAATTTCATGCAAACTCTTCTCTCTTCACATCACTTCTTTACTCAATTGACCCCAAACTGCTTAGAGTTTACCCCTTGTTTGCACAGTGCTGTATGACCCAGCCTTTTCTTTCTGCTCTGACCTACCCTTTAGAGCTCGTTAAAATTGATCTTTCAGTTTAAATCACCTTGCCCT